TACACACTTAGGAAACAAAATAGGAGTCTCTGTTTCTGTAGAGCCTGACCTAGTGCTAGGAGGTTAAGAGCCACTCCTGTAGGAAGTGCTTTTGGTTTTATTTAACTGCTGCAATCACATTATTGCCCAGTAGTAAGGCTGTGTCTACATTTCTTTTGTAAACCAGAAGTAATTTTAGGGCTGTTTAGGTGTTTTTCTACGCTCTACCAAGTTCTCCACACACTGAAATCATTCCCCCAGGAAAGTAAGAAACTTGATCTTACAGGTATCAAATGACCCGAAAAGATCTTTCAGCAGTTTGGTCAGGATAACATTAATAACCCAGCGTACAGGAGAGTATTACGTAGCAAAGCCCGTGTGAAATTGATGAATGTGGACTGCAAAGAAACTGACACACCCCCAACATTGTTCACCAAACACTAAATGAATGAATTCCAACTGACTACATCTGCAGAACCAGGAGCTGTCAGGTGGGAAGATTCTTCACCAACTTCCTCAAAAAGCTGCAATTCTGTATTTAGTACAAGAATGCTGTCGGCATCTTCTCACCCTAGAACCAAAACTACTCAAACATATAAGAAATTTGTTCTATTATGTTCTTCTATCATATCCAAGTAGGCTACCACAACAGCTACAAGTACAGTACCATCAAAACATATCAAGGAATCTATATTCCAAAACACATATATAGGATATTGACCTGAAAAATGACTATACACAGCACTTTGAAACAGTCTGAAGAACTTAAATTTGACATATAGTTTACAGCTCTGGAATAAGAAATTTTGTTTTACTGTAATCAGCACTTTTATTTGAAATATAAGTCACACCTTCTAAATATATACTTATAATCATAAGTCACCTCAAACCTCTATGTATTTAGGAGTTACAATGCCCTATCATTAGTTGTTCTAAGCTGATAAAAGACTAATGGAATGCTGAGTAAGCAATTCCACCAACACGAGTATGTTTTATAGTTAAGGTTGCTATATGTGCAATGTCCTGTAGAAAAACCTCCCACATAAAACTGCCCATAGAACATAGCAGTTTCTAAAAACGAGGCTATGTTGTACAAATAACTATAGACCTACAACTAAAAAAACCCAAACCCAAACCTATCTGATGCTGCAACATTGAGCTTCGAAGAAAGAAAAATCAAGATCCATCAAAGCCTCGCATATCTAACTTTTACCCTCTCAGCTTGGATCAGCAAAACACTCTTTTTTGATGTAAACGGGAATTATGTTAAAACATTAATTGCCCTACACATGTCAGCAGTGCAGGCTTGGTAGTCTTCAAAAAAATATCTGGAAGTGTCACAACTTTTTAGTAGGAATAAACACAGTATTTTCTCTAATGGGAAGTTACTGCAGGGAAGAAAAAGAGTTTTTGCTCTATCCCCACCTTATGGCTAGAAAAAGAATTTTCCTGTCACAGCATACATATTTCTGATTTTTTTTTTCCTTTACTGTATCACTATAACCAAAGAATATTTAATGTTTGCATTAAGCAACTTAAGATTCTTTTTTAGCAACCATGCACTCCTCCACATACAAGCACAACAAAAGTCTAAGGCATAAATGTCCTCTCTAGCATCTGTGTTGATTTTCTGGATCAAAAGAGCAGACTTAATGATCCAACATAATTTTAGATTCAAATAGAACAGTGATTATTTGAGCCCTGATCCACAAAAGTATACAAGTTCATATAGTCCTGTTGACTCCATTAGGAGTTAAACAGCTAGATCTCTCCACAGATCTAACCTTCGCTAATATACCATTCTTAAGATTCACACTTTTAAAATAGTTTTAAACCTAATAATCAGATTATTTAGGCCACTCAGAAAATATTAAACTTAAATGCCCTACAAATTAAAAGAAAACTATGCATGAATTGAGTTTTAAAGTTTTCACAACTATCTTCTCTCTATGCTTATCTTGCAAGCAAAATGATGTGGCCGTGAGAGCTAGAATAGTGCACGCTCCTCATGAGAAGGCTTATTCGAAGTTGGCAAATCCTCTTTTGTCAGTCACTCCATACATGAGATGAAAAAAATAGCAGCAGCACCACCCCATCAGGAAAAACACTCTCTTCCCTCATAGTCACCTGCTTATCAATAAACATTTTTCTTCTTCTTTTGTGCCTTAATCACTTGTGATACCACTCACTGGCCCAGGGACTAACATTAGCTACACATGAAGCTGAAAACCAAGACAAGGGCCACTAGAAGTACTTTTGCCAAATTCTTCTGTTTCTTCATATTGACTTTTCCCCTCTATCATTGATGGTCACAATGAAAGAGCAGGGTAGGATGTGTAATAGATGAACAATGGGAAAGCTGCAAAGACAAGAGAATGGAAAAACTGGATAATGTCTTAGTGTGCCTTTAATTTTTTGGGCATTCTATCCTGCTTTCCTGAGGAAATGAAGAGTCATAATTGTATTGTCTGAGCACCTCTCCTTCCCAAAATCTCTTGAATCTTACCTTTAAAACCAGAGGAAATTCAACAGTGAGTCAATAGTCTCAATGGTTTCTGAACACTAAATTTCTCAAGGTTTCAGCTGAGTAGAAGAGCACCTTATTATGGCATCAGCATGACCCTTCCCCTAGTAATCCTTGTCTTTTTCCTCCTAACAGCAGAGGATCATCGCAGGAATTAAAACAAGAGAATCCAACTTTATTAGGCCTTCTACCACAGATCTAGTTTAAAGACATTTTCTAGAACAATGTGCTTTGATGTTTTGTCATTAAATAAAGATTCACTATCAGAAAATAGATTATTAGCATATTCTACAAAGTTATATTAATTGGAAGTGTTCATGGGTATTCAGACAACACTGCTGTAAGGAGTTTTGATTTTAATAACCCAGTAAGGAGTACTGGGTAGAGACCCTGTGTATATACATGGAGGAGTACAGAAGAGCTGTCAAATACGATTAACCTTATGGTGAACATTCAAGAAGAAGATACTAGCAAAATATAATAGCATTGCATATTTCTGAATGCTTAAACACACTGCATCAACCACATTAATTTCACTAAGCATTTATTTAAAGTTTAAGAGAAACCTCAATATCTGCCAAGCTATTCAGGTCTTCTGAATACCTGCCTGCTTTAGCTGTTATGAAACATTCACAAAGTACTGGCAATCTAGTGACAGGACACATTCTGACTCAAACTTCTCAGGGCTTATTAAAAAAGTCCCTCTCCTATATTAAAAAAAAAAAAAAGGCACCTTTTTAACCATTAATACAGGCCAAGAACATTGCATAAAATATTTTAAAAGTACACTGATGGCTTGTTTTAACCTTTCCTTGCCCCCCCCCCCCAACGGTGGGTGATCATCCACCTACTACATGAGAATGAGAACGTTCCACTAAGCTCAAAGTGGATCTTGCTCCTAGGCAAGCAAAAAAAGAAGTTTAAGCAGATATCAAAACAAGTTCCAGAAGAAGGTAAAGCACTCAAACTACTGTACAATGAGAAAAGATATGTGGTTATACAAGACTATAAGAAAAGATGTCAGGAAAAATTAAGATAAAACATTACTAAGAAAGAACAATCTAGTGTTCCAATAAAATTGTTATATCACAGGCAGTAATTACAAAGAAAAATATAAATACCTAGTCAGATCTCTCTTATTCCTGAGAACGTTGAGTTCTTTGTGGATTCCAAGGGAGTAAGAGAAGAAAATGCAGAATAAGGAATCTAGTCAACGTTACAAGAAGCAGACTGAACTAAGCCCTATGAGTTAAGTAAAGCAGAAGAGTCATCCTTCCTTTCTGCATACTGTAAAAAGATGACTTTTCACAGGTTGTAAAGGATTTTAAAAAGCACATAGACATGATGTGAAATTTGAAGTTCTGGCATTGCTCCAGTTTCCCTAGACTACAAAAATATTTACAAGTTGCAATTCTTTTTTGCTGAGTTCCTAGAATATACTCAGTAACATGTTAAACAAAATTAGAGTACTGAATACATAATGTTTTTAAAAATTCTTTAAGAATAGCTCATGGTGCATATGAAGGATCAGTTACCACATATTCCACAAAACTGTATTACCAGCTCAAACTGTGAGATTTGACTATATCTTTATTACAAGATCTATTAAGCAAAGTATTCAGCAATCATTTAAAAATATCAGATTAGGAATGGAATATGATTTTAAATTAAATAGATATTTTCATAAAATGTACATTTCCAGACTTCTGACAAGTTAGAATGACACTCAAAAGGGGGGAGGAGGTAGCTTGGCACTCACGCCAACTTATCTTCACCATTTGTACAGGATCTAACTTCAAAAACATCAGCTGTGCCAGATCTTTTCTTTTCCATAATGTGCATCTGTCCACACCAACTGAATTAGAGACCACCGACTTGTCTCATATACCATATCAAACAATAGGCCAGCTTAACAGTTCAGAGCATGATTTAGAAATACAAAATATGTATTCTTTCCCCAGAATACACAAGTTTTAGCCTACTTTTCAAAGTAATTTAAAAAATATTAAGACATTTATAAATAAATTGAAGCCAAGAAATTTAATACACTAGTTTCTACAGTGATTGTTTTGAAAGCCAAGATTTTGTTTAGCTAGTAAATCTGCTTTGAACTGTATAATCTATAATGGATTTAGTGAAACCTGCATTTTTATTACTGTTCTCCTTTAAAAGTTTCATACTCCTAATAATAAATGACACATCATACATGAAGAGTGACTATGGTATAGGCATTCCTCTGTTATTTTGGAAGAAATAAGGTACATCTAAGTCTTAAATGACAAGTGACACACATTTTAAAGTTATGCATGAAGTGTATGAAAAAAAATAATTTAAGAATCTTACAATGTATTTTTAAAGAAACAGCAAGATACTCAGAATCAGGAGATAGACATCAATAAAACTCAATACTTCCACAAGTGCAAAAGCTGGCTCACAGGATCTCACGTTAGTAAGAACACACAGAAAAACATGCTTTGAAATTCCAGTGGTCTGTTTTCTAGCCTCTGCTTTTCTTTAAAATAACCTGCAAAAAGAAAAAAGTATATTTATCACTGCTTTTATCACTACAATCCAGGCAGCAGTAAGAGATCCAAAATGCTATGCTACTCAGACCAAAGGTTCACCTAGCCAAACAATCTGTTTCCAAGAATAGAGTCACCAAGGGTAAAAGTCTAGGGAAAAGGTTAGAAATAAAGCAAAAGCATACAGAAAAATGCCATACCAGAAAGTATTTTTTTTTTAAATAGGAACATTAATAACCAAGAATTCTGTAAAATTAAAGGCTTATTTAAAAAATGAATGCTGAGAAATGGCAATAGCACTCTCAAGCCCTCAGATTTCTTGAAGCTCTTACCCCATTAGACCTAGACAAAAAGAAAAAAAAATAATTTGCAACTATACAGCTACTATGCTCAATTTTTGTTTGTAATGCCTTATTTCTTTCTATATCAAGAGTGCCCAGACCCTTGGAAGGACATTTTTTGGTTTGGAGTTTAAGTTGAAAAATGAACTTCAAAGCCCAAGTGGGACCATTTAAGTGTTAACATTATTAAAATACAGGCAGTTTTTCCTTTCTTCTCATCTTAAAAAAAATAAATGGAGCACAAAAATGTTCAAATAATGTTAAGATTGCAGTTAAAAAGAAATTACAAATGTGTAAGATTCCAACTGTAACATTCACTTGGCTACCCTACACATCCTGTATATATTTCTGTTACTATAGCAATAGAAAGTATCAAACTAAACATTTCACCAGAGGAAAAAAAAAACAAAACCTGAAGATAAACAGAAGCCACAGGACCCAAATATCAGATAGCACTGAGTTGTGTTCTTCCAAGTTGCCCAGCAGTAATAGGTGGTTGAGCAGATAACTCAACAAATTAAAGAGACTGAGTTCCTTCATGAAACCTAGGTAAAGTAGACACATCCTAGCGAGTGAGATGAGCTACATACAGAATACAAAAGGATTTCAGTCATACTATGGCAGTACTCTAATTCTTTCTAGAGAGAGAAA